GCCCTATCTCAGAGGGGTTTGCTTTCCTCAAGCACAGAGGCTCTTTCTCACCCACGATTTTGTTTCCATCCTGCAAATGCCCCAGTTGCCCTTCCCCGGCAGAGCACGTGTCGCAGCACCCGCTCCCAAATGTCCCCCTGACCCCAGAGTCATGCTGTTGGCTCTCCCCGCTCCCTGGACCTGCCTTGGCTCTGGGTTTGTCACACTGAGCGAGGCTTGTCCCACCTCTCCCAACCCCAAGGCTGGAGCCAGGCTCCAGAAAACCCAAGACAATCTCTGCAGGTTTGCTGGAAAGCAAAGATAAGGGATATTTCAAAACGCTGTTGTGTTCGTTCTTTTCTTCATGGGTTACAGCACTCAGTTGAGCTTTGCTTTATGTTGACTGCAACTTTTCTCAATGTTTTTGTTGTTTGGGGGGACTGAATTTGTACCAAACTTGTCTGCAACAGCCAATCACTGTTATTTTGCTATGCATTGTACATATATTGAACAGGCTGAGAGGACTTAGCCTCTATTTAATATTTATTTCTTCTATTTATTGAGCATAAATTTATAAAAAGCTATTTGGGTCTTGCCATAGGGTCCATGAAGGTAGGAGCCTTTGAGGTGTTGCCATATACACTGGAGAGAGGTTATCAGAGAGGTGAATTACTGAGGCTGTCACCTGCTGGCATGGAGGCATCTGGCAGATAAATTGGGCTCGTTTGTAGCTCAACCACCAGTGATTTAGGGAGGAACCTCATTTAGATGGAGATGAGCCAGGCAGGGGGAAAATACTCCATCTTCTTGGGCCAGCTTCTATTGAGAAATCACAACCCCCTGGAAAGGTGCTGGGCGTTCAGAGGTGACAGGCCAGCTGTGGCGGAGGAATAACCCTGCTCTTCCTCCTCCACGCCGCATAGGGCTGCTTGGATCGCCAAAGATCCCTGGAGATCTCTGATGTCCCACCACTGACCCCCTCTTGGCTCTCTGGGTTATTGGGGGAAGGGGGTCTTGTCGCCCTTTCATCGATGTGAGGATGGGGATAGGGTTGAAGTGACTTGCCGTGGTATCTACCAGGAAGCAAGGATGTCCACCCAGCCCCATCCTGAGACACTTGTCCTCACGCCATGTCCTACTTTTCCCCCTTCCTTGAGCTTTGTACCAGAACCAGTAGCTTTGCCCGGATGTGAGCTTGGGAAAGGTGGCCAGGACAGGAGTAGGGAGGTCTCTCCTGTCATCTCCAGCACGAGCCGGAGCTTGCTGCAAGCATCCCTCCCCTAGCTTTGAAAAAAGCATGGGATGTGCTAAAAATCACAGCCTGCCCCAGCGTCACTCCACCAACGCTGCAGCCGTTGTCCTCTTCACCCGAGTGGGAGGCGTTCATGCTCTGTGGGCAGAGCTGCCTTGGGCTGGCCGAGGGTGGATTTGGCTCTGTCGTCACCAGGCGAGTGCCCAGCGCTGGGTTATTCCCGTGGAGCTGGCCAGGAGCTGCAGGGCACTCAGCCTTGGGCTATCAGGATATTTGAGAACGAGGCAGATTCAGGTGCCTAAGTGAAGACTTTGCCCTTTAGTGTCCCGTGGGGTTTTATTACCTCTGTATTAGAGAATAAATCATTCTCGTGACTTTTGCTGCTACCTGGAAGTTTGCACATGACCGGGAGTGTCTCCGAAGCACTGGTACGTCCGCTCTTGTGGCAACAGCTTCATGGTCAAGCATCCCGACTTTTGGGCTATTGCCTAGAGAACAACACCCTGAACCTCACCAGCCCCAGGGCAGCTCTCTGCCTTCAAAACCCAGGGAATGAGAAGATTTAGAACAAAAGCCAAGACGTAAGAAAAGCCGCGAGGGAAACGGTGTCTCTGTTTTCTCGCCTGTTGGTCGATTCCTTACCAAATGACGCTGGCGCATCTGTTCATTTGACTTCGTTGTAAAACTCCCTTTGCTCTCCATTGAAATGCATACTGTATTCTTTAGTCTTCCTGGGGTATTTGAGTTGTTAGCCTGGTTAGAAAAAGGGTTCCAATAAAGGTTCAGACAGTATTTCCTTCTCATCGCAGCCCTGTTTGTCATGTTCCTTTTGGATCCAACTGCGCTCGGTGGGATATTTTGGGTGGTTTCAGCTGCTCCGCATGTGCCTCCGCTCCCAGCTGCCGCGGACTGGCTGCTCGGGGCACTGGCTGAAGGAAAAAAAGTTGTGGGCTAGTATTTCTGGCAGCTCTCCCTTCCCTGCTGGGTCAGGCTTTCGCTGCCCTTTGCCAGGCACTTTGGGTCCTCCTGCCCAGTTCAGGCGCTGGTAGCCCAAGCCCGAAATGCAGCTGGAGGTCACCGTTTGGGCTCGCCGGTGCTCTCCTTGGCACCGTCCCCTTCCCTGCCTGCACAGCCCTCGCTCCAAGCCCCGCACGGTGCTCCCACGCCGCAGGGTCCCACCGCGGTCACGTTCTCGGCGGGAGCCAGGGTGTTCCCCCGTGAGCGACGGGGCGGTGGGGACTCTCCAGCACCCCAGATGATGCCAGTTACCCTGGGGTGCTCCCCTGGACTGGCTGGAAGTCCCACAGGGGAGCAGTAGCACTGGACCAGGTCCCTATGCTGTTCCCAGTAGGGCTCGGATGGGCACCCAGCAAGGGTCCGGCCGCAGCACGGACAAATCCTGGGGACACGGGGCAGTGTCCCCAGGTCACTCGGAGGGGCAGGGAGGCTGTGAGGCCGCTTTGCTCCCCCCAGAGCTGATGTCGTGGGGCTAGCTCGGCAGCGGGAGGCAGCTGGGAGATTTGGAGTGACAACAGGAGCTAAATTGGGATGGCCCAGAGAGGGCGAGAGCCGGCAGGAGTGTGACTAATTGGGATAAACAAGGCGACAGGGAGGATTCCTGACAGGGGAGGGAGGATGGCCCAGAGCTACGCGGGGAAACGTGGGACTGGAGATGTTGGGAGGATCCTGGAAACACGGCAGGATCTTGGGGCTGCCTGAAACCTCTTCGGAGCTCATCCCCCTCTCCCTGTGGGCCAGTGTTTGCCCAAGCGGGTGCAGAGCTGGGTGCTGGGGTGATCCCACTTTCTGGCCAAGGTGAGAGGTGCCCAGCCCAGGCTCAGTGTGTGGCGATGTCCCCCAGAAGACCCTGCTGTCACCCTCGGGCAGCCCCCAGCCGGGCAAGGGCAGCGGGGCAGGACAAGGGGATGGGGGGGATGCTCTGCCCCTCCACTGGCAGCTGCCTCCTTGCACCCAGGGGTGCTCAGCTGGCACCTGGGACCTCACCTTGGTCCCCAGGGAGACCCCCATGATGCCCAGCTCTCCCCACACATGGAGGGGATGAAGGAGCTGGGCACGGGGGAGCAGCCCTGCTCCGCACCAAGGAGAGGCAGCTCCCTCCCCCAGCGATGCTGCGTGGGTGCAGCGTGATTAATGCCGTCAGAGTGACCAGCGGCTGAATCGCTGCGCGGCCTGCACTGCATTAAAGTCTTCCTGCTGTAATTAATTCCATCAAGTCTATTAGAAAAATTGCAGATGCTGGAGAGAAGGAGCATGAGGCAGAGCCAGGAGGGAGGATGCGGCATGAGGAAGTGGTCCTGTATCCAGCATGACCCTCGCTGATGACACCCCATCCTCCGGCGCATCCCATTGCCCACCCGAGCCGTGCCTGGACCACCTCCGTGGGGACCCCCTCGTTGCCGCCAGGTACCCCCCAGCTTGCACGGTCGGGACCGTGTCGCCCGGGTGGATGCTTGCCGGCAGCTCACCCGCCACCACCGCCGCCGCACCTCTTCCCACGGCGCGCTGCTTGCTCCCCACTGCTGCCCTGTAATTAGCCCTGCCGCCGCGCGGCTGTGATTACCGCCTCGCCCTGCCCGCGCACGGCGATTGTGGCAGGGCCTGGGCACGCGGTGGGGTGAGGAGGAGGAAGAGGAGGAGGAGGGCGAGGAGGAGGCGGGTGCTGAGCAGCGCCCCAAGGACCCTGCCCGACCTGCTGCCCGGGGTCCCTCTCCTTCCCGCGGTTAGGGGACGTTTCTCCGGGCCCGACCGGTGAAGGCGGCCAAAGAAGAAGGGCTGGAGAGGGACATCCCTCGGACCACGACTTTCCTCCTGCATCCCGCAGTCCCGCTCGCACCCGGGCTCCGTGGGCAGCCCCGGGTGGCTGAGATGCTGCTGGCCGCAAAAGGGGTCCGTCCCCTGCCCCAGCATCCCCCAAACACCCACCCGTGGGGTCCCAGCGCCCTCACGGCGCCGTGCTAGGGGTGCCACCGGTGACCCATTTCCCCGAATGGTGGGTTGCTCAGTGGCGAGGGGACACGTGGCTTTACAGTGAGGGGAGCAGCTTGGCCCAGTCCAACCGAAGAGGGTTATTTTTAAGAGGTGACACTGGGGTGAAAGCAGCTGGGCCTGAGCTCGGGGGCTATTTTGGGCGGGTGGGCTGGGCGCAGGGTGGCGGGAGGGGGCGGCGGGGGCCGGGGCAGCTGCCGAAACACCGTGGCCCTGCGGCAGCCGGGATCCTTGGGCTGGCGGGAGAGGTCAGCTGCCGCAGCCCAGATTCTCCACGGCTGTTTCATCCTCTCCAAAATACTCGGCTGACAGGGCAGGAATTGCAAAACACACGCCCCCCCCCCCCCCCCAAATCCAATAAATAGCACTCGCCCGGCAGCCGGAAGGTTAGAGAAGTTTCTCGGCTCCGAGCTCAAGCATTTATTGCAGCTCTCGCCCGGGAGTGGCAGGCAAAGTCGCACATAAAGTGCTGGGGAGCGAGAGGGAAGAGATAAGCTTTTTAATCTCGGGATATTCGTTGTTGGTTTTTTTTTTTTCCCCTCTCCCACTGAGAAGTTTTATTTTCTTCTCCCCGGTCCCTGGGATCACAGCCAGACAGGAAGCATTTTCTCGCGGCCAGAGAGCTCCCTCCGTCCTTCCTGCGCTCCTCCGGCTCCCGGTGATTCAGCTCTGAATTGATTTTCTCCGTCGTCCTTCACCTGGTGCCGGGGAAGGAGGGGACCGTCCCCGCGGCTCCCACCCGCAGCCGCAAGATCCCGTCCCGCCCGGGGTGGATGCGTCTCCTCCGGGACAGGCTCCCCGGGCAAGTTTGCAGCCAGGAGCGGCCGCACAGAGGCTGAAGCTCTGTGGGAGAGCCCCGGGGACGCGCTCGGACCCCTCCGAAGAAAGCCATGGCCGACAGCCAGATGCCCTTCTCCTGCCATTACCCCGGCAGGCGCAGCGTCCGCGACCCTTTCCGGGAGCCCGGCTTGACCTCGCGCCTGCTGGACGATGATTTCGGCATGTCGCCCTTCCCCGGGGACCTGACGGCGGACTGGCCCGACTGGGCTCGACCCCGGCTTACCACTACCTGGCCGGGTCCCCTACGTGCCGGCATGGCCCGAGCCTCCACCATGGCCCCCGGTTACGGTTCCCGTTTCGGGGGGTACCCCGAGAGCCGCAGCCCCGTGCCTTTTCCCCGCGAGCCCTGGAAGGTGTGCGTCAACGTGCACAGCTTCAAACCCGAGGAGCTGACGGTCAAAACCAAGGATGGCTACGTTGAGGTGTCAGGTGAGAGTGAAGGTACCGGGGAGGAGAAGGACGGGGCACGAAAAGCAGCTGGTCCTGCCCTACCCGTGCCAGCTCAAGAAATTGCTGTGAAATGCAAAAAATCACCTTTATTTTAAGCCAGCGACGGCAGCCCCATGCTTGGGAGCAGGGCCAGGGCTGCGGCACAGCTTTTGGGCAGTTTGGGGGTGCCGGGGGGGACCTGGCTCAGAAGCCGCAGTGGTTTGCTGCAAAAATGAAAAGGACGAGCCTCCTTTGGGGTAAATCTCCCCACTTTCCGCCCCGGCCAGCCGGGGAGGCACTGCTGCGGTCGGCAGCACCCTGCAGCGAGCTGCCAAGAGGGGCCCCAGCTTGGCTCGGTTAATTATAGCCAGGGTGAGGCCAGTGCAGAGGGAGATTCCCTTTAAAGGGGCCAAGAGAGAGGCAGCTCCAGTGCTGGGAAGCGAGGGGCAGCCGCCCCATGGCCCCCACCCCAACCCAGCCCCAAGAGACCCCAGCCCAGGGACGAGCCGGCCAGAAGCACGTCCCTAAAAATTCAATTAATGGTAAAGACAGTGGGTGCGGGGTGCGCCGCATCTGGGGTGCCCACGGACACCCAGCCCTGAGCATCCCTTCAGCCCTGCACCGACATCCCGCGTTACCCCCAAGTGCCCCAGGGAGGGGTTGGGGGCTGCCACACAGCATGGCCCTGGGTATTTATTTGGGGCTCACAGCATCACCAGGGGGGAAAAACACAGGTCAGGGGGGGTCCGGGCAGCTGCTGGTGTGGTTTTTAACTTCAGAGATGCTCCAGGCACAGGGACCCCCAGCCTGACAGCACGGTGGAGGGGAGCCCCGCCAGGGGAGCGGGACAAGGGGGGGATGCTGCCACCTCCAAAGGTTTTATTATGTTTTGGGACTTTTTCTTAAGCCCCAGCTCTTGGCAGGCTGCGAGACCCCAGGCTCTGACTGGAAATATGGGTGTGCTGTGTCCGGCATCTCCTTCTTCACATAGGAGAGGCTCCCTGAGCCCTCCCCAGAGGGAAGGTTTGCACTGGCAAAGGCAAACGACTCCTCTGCAAACTTTCCTGTCGGGTTTTGTTGTTGTTTGTTGGGGAAAAAAATAATCTCCCGGTGAGATGGTGACGTGGGGTGTTGCCCTTCCCTGCAGGCAAACACGAGGAGCAGCAGGTGGAAGGAGGGATCGTCTCCAAGAACTTCACCAAGAAAATCCAGTAGGTACCAGCCGGCCCTGGGGTGTCCCCCAGCCGAAGGGGCTGGGACATGGGAGGGGGACGGGGCTGCCACATCCCCTTAACCAGCAGCCAAATGTCGCTAGCCTGCTGTGGGACCCCATCCCTGCGGCACGGGCAGGTCGCAGGCGGCACGGGGATGCCACCGGTGGCGAAGGGCTGAGCTTTGCCAGTCCCCACGCACAGGCTCACACATGCAGGGGCTCCTGCACCTGTTTTCACCCCCCAAAATCTGCCCTTTTGCAGCACGCGCCTGGCTGGTTCAGGCCACACGGTGATTTCCCGAGGGAGGTAAAAGAGAAGGAGGTCTTTTTCTGGGTGCTTTGTCAGTCTCCTCCGGGCCCGGGGCTGCATTTGGAGCCAGCTGGGACGCAGGGAGCAGGAGGGGTGCAAGGAGCCAGGCTCATGGTGCCAGCACATCCCCCGGCGTTCAGCAGGGCACGATGGGCTGACACCATCATCCGCCTCAAAATACATCCCTGCGTGTGAATGTAAATATATATCTATCTATCTCTATCTGAATGATGTCAATTAGATTGCTATCGCGTTGACTCACCGCGATGGCTCACTTTGGCAACAACAACAGCAAAGGGCAGGGAGGAAAGGCGAGTCCGGAGGCAGGCGAGCCCTGACCGCAGCGCTTCACCCGTGCGGGGGCCAGACCCCCAGCCGCAGGGCTTGCGGGGTTAACCGGGAGAAACAGCAAAGCCCAGGGCATGGGAAGGGTTTCCTCGGCTGGCAGCAGCTCAGCTTTGCTTTTCCACCCCAAAGGAGCCCTGTGCATCCCAAACTCCCGTGGGAAAGCTGGGGCGAGCACCACGCTCCCTCCTGCTCGGCGCTGGGCAGCCGCGGTGGCTCCTTTTACGGGCAAGGCTCGCGGCTGACGCGGGCTGCGGCACGACGATGATTTACTCCTGCTTTGCAGAAGCCCGGGCGGCACAAGCGGCGGGTGACATCCCGTCAAACACATCTGCCGGGGAGATTAAACAGAGCGCCCACAGGGGCCAGACCGGCCAGGAGGCCGCTTTAAATATCCCCAGCGCATTCCCTGGTGCTGCAGTAATAACAGAAGCTTTGCCGAACCCCTCGCCGGGGCTGCTGGCTCGGCATCGGTGGTTCCCCATGCAGCGGGGATCCTGTGTGGGCTTCCCAAGGCTCGAAGTCCACCAGGGATGCGGCACGCTGCGAGCCGGCAGCGGAGCCGGCTCCTAAACCGTCTCATCTCTCCTTCCCTCCCGCAGGCTGCCCTACGAGGTGGACCCCATCACGGTCTTCGCCTCTTTGTCGCCAGAGGGGCTGCTGATCATCGAGGCACCCCAGATCCCCCCCTACCAGCCGTACAGCGAGGGCGGCTGCAGCAGCGAGATCCCCGTCGAGACCCAGGAGCCCACCTGCGCCTGACCGGCCACCCGCATCCCTCCCGCACCCCGGCATCCCTCCATCCCTCTCTCCTCTCCCCCCCCGGACCCCCGCTTCCCCGGTCCCCTGCGGCACTGCGTCCCGACAGCCTCCGGCAAGGGTGATGGGTGCCGCTCGCAGGGACGGCAGCACCCGCCACCCCGCAGGGGGACCAACTGAGAGCCGGGGCACGCGCGCTGGGTGCCAGGCCACTGTCCCCGAGGGCTTTCTAGCGGTCTGAGGTGCCGGTAGAGATTTTGTGCCCATGGGGCTGAGCAGAACAGATGTCCTCGTTACGGTTATTTTTCGCTCCGAGGCGCTCCGATGGGATATTTATAATGATAGCAAAAAAAGGGCCCTTTTTTGTCTAAAATTGATGTGGAATCCCATAGCCATGTGTCTTTTCCTCCTCCGTGGGTTGGTTTTTTTTTTAAACTACATCTCTGCAAAGGACGCACATCTGGCGGCGGAGCTTGACGGCATGGCCTCCGTCCTGAGAAACGCAAACTGTCCGCGTGGCTTGAACATTGGTTTTGGTTTTGGGTTTTTTTTCTGTTTTTTTTCCAAAGAGAATTTGTGCTTTTACTTGTCAGACTTGAGGAATAAAACCCAGTTGATGTTCTTAGCCTCCGCTTGTCTCGGCTGAGCCCGGCAGGGAGGGCGCAGGGCTGCGGGAGGGCGGCAGGGACGAGGGGGGATGCCACCCTGTGCCATCTCCTAGCCTGGCATGGGGTTCTCCCCATGGGGAGAAGGAGAAGAGAGATGTGTGCGGATGTTTGCACTGATGGGCAGCTGAAACATTTGCTCAAGGCTTTTCTGCAGCCTGTGAATACCAAGTCCCGGCTAACGCTGTGCTTGGGAGGCACCGAGCCCGGCGAGGACCACGGGCTCATCCTTTCCTTACGCTCTCGAGGGGTTGAGAATGTTTTCCTGCTTGGGGATGCTAAATCAGCCTCTAAGCTGGGAAGGTTGGGTTTGCACCATCCCCATTTCCATCTCACCCTGCCAAGTCCCCACCGGCAGCTCCGCAGGGAAGCACTTCCCAGCTAATTCACTGGCAGAGGTAACGGCAAATGGTTTCTGCTGGACTCTGGACACAGCCTTAAAACCATTCCCGGGGGCAAAGCACCAGGTAAGATTTGTTCGCATGCTGCAATGCCTAGGGTCGACAAAGCAGAGGTGCTGATGGGCGACAGGAGTTTTTCGATGGATCTGTGCAGCACCTGGACGGGGCACCCGGTTTTCCATGCCACCAGGACCTCAGAGTTAAAAATACAACCTCACATGCTTCGCTCCGTCTCATTTGGGATGCAGTTACCAACAACAGCCCATCACGTGCTGTAAACCCCGGCCCCAGCGCTTGGGGGCCACGATGGTACCCGTACTCCAGGTCACAGAGGGGAACCGGAGGGCTCTCGCCCTGGTTTTGTATATTATATTTAATTTTCGACAGTTGTGATGAACCCTGGACCCCCGGGCGGTGCACAACACCCCCGTGCCTGTCGGCAGGAGCCAGCCCCGGGCTCAGCCATGACAGGTCTGCCAGGCGCAGCTGTGAGCACAGCAATTTTTATGAATAAAATATAATCCTTGAAATGTAATACCGACACCAGGATGGAAAGCAAAAAAGTCATGAGTCACAGCTCCAGCCCTGTGTCCTCATGCCACTTGGAGCCATCGTGCCCCATAGGTGACAGCTCTCCAGCACAAACTGTCCCTCCTCTTCCTTGCCCCTACAAAGAAAATTTTTTTTTCAGTCTTTTGAAAAAACATCCCCAGCCCCACAGGAGCGAGTGGCTGGATGGCAGCCCTGACCGTGCACCCCACGAGGACTCCCCCGAGCAGGGCTGCAGGCACAAGGGACCAGCTACAATTCTGCTGGGAGCTGCAGGGGGCAAATCAGGCACAGCTGAGCCCCTCTCCCACCCCAGGGTATATGGGGATGTCCCCAGGCTGCAGCTGTACCAGTGCTGGGGCAAAGGGAATTCCAGGCTCAAGTTTGGGGCTGCAGCACAGGTAAGGGCTGCCGTAGTCAGATGATGGCTCCCAGCTTTCCTTCCTGCTGATTGTGCAGTTTGGGGGAAGATTTTTTTTTTTCTTTAATCACTTTCTGTTTTATTTGGTTCTGCTTTCTGATTAATTCCTTAATAACGTCTTATAAAGACTGTCGTAAGATGCATTAGCAATAATTTCTTAATGGCTGAGGTTGGCATTGGCAATTAGCACTAAGGACCTCTTACACAAGCAGCGTGCTTAGACCTGTGCAGCCAGCGGCTTCTCAAGCTGTTGGATTGTCTGGAGTATCATATACTAATGAAATAATTGTAAATGGAGATCTGCCTTTTTTTTTTTTTTTTTTTTTAAAGCATGACCTGATTATTCAAGTGAAGGAGGTTTTAAAAACTGTGATCTCTACTGGTGTTTCTGCAAATGGAAAAATAAGTTTGGAAACGCTGGGGCGTTTCTGCATCAGCATCTCCCCTCTATGTCTGAGGACCGTGGGTGGGAAATGTGAGTTTCTGGGGTACCAGGGTGCTGCAGAGCCAGGGCCAGCGGGGAGCGGGAGCTGTTTACTCATCCTCAGCCTGCGCGTGAGATAACGGCTTGAAGCCATTAGATCCGTAACACAATGCTGTAGTGGCCACTCCGCCAATTACATTACATTTCATGGGTTTATAGCAATTACACTGCATCGGGTGGTGTCATAACACATTACGGTTTATAGCTTAATATCGGCTCTAACAGGGAGACGCTGCGCGCGGGACGTGGCTGCAGGCGAGCATCCTCGGGGTGGGGAGGAGCGGGTTTCCCACGGATCTGACCCCGGGGCTGGCCGAGGGGGCTCGGGAGGGACTGAGACCAGGGGATGTGCATTTTGGGACCCCTCTCGCAGGCGGGAGAAGGGGCAGGATTGTGTTTATAAGCGATTCACCTTGCATGGGGCACCCCAGCCACAGCAGCACCTCTCCGCTGGCTGTGTCCAAATCGCTCCGGGAGGCCAGTGCTCCCTTATTTCTCCTTCTGGAGCCATATTAGGCTTATCAATATCCACATCATTCAAAGCCAAATGATTTTTACTGCTGAAGGAGGCAGAGGAGCCATCCTAATCAGGCCTTTCAAATCCTGCTCTTGGAGCAATGCTGATGCTGCTGGCACGGGGCCCTGCCCGTGGCCGGGGAGGGGAGAGGAGCAGATGTTTGAAAGGTTTTCTTTTTTTCTTTCTAAGAAGTCAGTTCTGATAAAATACACAATCGCATCTGAAAGGGGCTGGTGTAATTAAGTAGTCAGATGCTGGGCAATTTGCATTAGGCTGTCTGTTGCCAACGTGTGCCTCGCTTCCCCGGGCAGCAGCCGGAGCAAGGAGCGTGAGGGATGTGCCTGCTCCGGGGAGAGGAGATGCTGGGGTCGGCGCTGAGCTCGGAAATCCAGCAGCTCTCGACGCATCTCAGGACCAGGAGCTTGTGAGCTCGGCTCTAAGCCCTGGCAAAGCTCTCCTGGGCAGCCGGAGGGAAATGCAGGTGGTTCGCGCGGCCTTTTTGTTTTGGGAAAGATTTTTCTAGCTTCTTTGCAGCGGTGATCCCTCCCGCAGCACAAGCGGGTGATTCCCAGTGCTGCAGACAGGGAGCTGGGATGGGCTGATGGGGAGGGCTCGAGGCTGGGAACTCAGCACCATGAGATAAGGGGAAACTGGCTCAGCACCATGAGATAAGGGGCCTGCATCATGGGAAACTGGCCTCAGGGGACCCGCCACCCCAACCAGCTGCTGCAGACGGGCTGAAGGACGTGAAGAGATAAGGATAAGGTCACCCGAGCCCTGGGAGAGCTCGCCAGCAGGAGGATTGGTTTGCAGGAGGCTGAATAAACCTCTCGGCCGTGTCCTGCTGCCGAGGGGGCTCTGCCAGCACCACCGGCCCTCGGTAAAGCAGGGGCACGGGCCAGCGGGGCTGAGCAGTTTCTGAGCACCAGTTTACACCCCATTGGGGCCGGGCTGGGCGAGCACGTGGCTCTTCACGGGGCACCGGCTCCCAACCTGTCCCAGAAGATTTATTTTCCTAAAAAGGAAGCAAAAGCCGAATTGATTTATTTTGGTTGGCAGCATGTGGGTAAATAATCCACAAGAAGCTCCAGAGCTGTCCAGAAACACCAGGCATCTCCAGAGGCCCGGTTTCTTCTCCTAGAAGAACTGGGTTGGTCTTGTTTTCTGACTCCCCAGCTCCTGTGGCAGGAGCCAGCTCGTGCCCGGGCAGAGCCGTGGCCAGCGGCCAGCACAGCAGCTCCCAAAGCTGCGTCCAGCTCTGCTCTGGGCAAGCATCGCTTCTGCATCCATCCACCCATGCCCGTGGCTCGGGACACGCTTCTCGCTGGCTCGCCCTGCGGAGATGCACTTGATGTCTCTCGCTTGCTCCCGGCACGCTGCTGGATCGTGCTGCGGGGTCCTCGGGTGGCCACAAAGACCCTTTTGTTGGCTGATGGGGATGTTTGTGCTTTCCAGCCGCTCCGGGAGTCTCTCTGCACAGCTCTGAGCCGCACATGTGCCACGGGCGCGCAGAGGCTCAGCCTGTTTTCCTCCAGCATCCCCTTCCTTGGTCCCCTGGGTGCTGCAGTCCTCCAGGCTCTCGCTTGGCAGCTGGGGTCTTATTCCTGCAGATTATCTATCTGGGTTTGCACAGAGGGGTTGATACAACACTTCTGGGTGTTTTTTCCTTCCCAGAGTCCTCTGGAGCATCCCTGGCTCCCCGAGGGTTTCTCACACAAACCTGGGCCCCTTCGGTACAAGCCAGTCCCTTTTTCCCCCAGAGAATATCCTGTAACCATCCAGGTGTTTCTCTGCTAAAGTCGAGGTCATTTGGGGTTTTTCGTGTTTCTCTTTGGGAGTTTCTCTTCTGTTGGAGATTTTGCTTTGTTGTGATTTTGGTCTCTACTTGCAAAGCAAATATCTGCTTTATTTTGGATGTCTCCAATGGGAAGACTTTGCCACATGATGGCTGAGGGGACAGAGAAGCGAAAACTTTCTTTTTCTCTAATGAAAGAACTCAGTG